GAAATCATAGCTAGATGGGGCTGTATTTGGAAAAAAACTAAGCCCTAGATATAGATTTAAGTGTAGAATACCTTGTGAAATTAAAAAATTTGTTCATAAAAATATACTATGCGTAAAGTTAACTTGGTGCAACGTTTGGAATTTGGGGAAAAAAATATTAAAAAATTATTCTATACAAGAGTATAAACGTTTTGAAATTCCAAAATAAATGATTTATATTTGTATTCACAGCAATTGTTGTTATACTTCAAAACTACGGCCAATTAAGACAGTATGTATACTGTAATATATTGCCAATGTAAAGTCTCGCAATATTAGATCTTGACAGTATACTGACAATCCCATGCTATCTAGGCAAAAACTAATACTCTTAGTTGGGATTTTATACTGTATTTACTCATATATCCGGAATTTTCAGATGAATATTGTGTAGAAAGAGTATTGTGTCTGAAAAGCAATCTAACCATATTAGCAAAACGTGACCTTATAGTCGTCTGGAGTATAACTTTTGTTATATATGCGTTGAAAATCAACTTTATGTATAAATGCGTTTTTGTAATCATTTATAATTATCACAATCATTTTCAGCATCCGACACATTGAAATTTTGAGCAAACGCCCACCTGAAGATAGTCAAATTCACAAAGGTCTTTCTTAAGTCTTAACCCATTGCCACTGCCGAGGGGTAAAATTGGTGATGTTCCTGCTAAAGGATTGATTTGACTAAAAACTTATGAAAAAGTTATATTAAAAAATTTAACATAATATATTTTTTGGAAAAAAAAATTAAAATACTATATGAAAAATAGTTAAAACAGCTCACGCCAAATCACGCCAAATTATACCGAGTATCAATTTAATCGTAACTCAATTTTTTTATTAAACAATTCTACGCATGAAATAAAAAAAAATACGGATTTAGTGCATGTTTGGGGGTCCATTTTAGTGAATGTTTGGTCATCCAATTTGGTAATCCTACCTTGTAGATTTTATATTATTCACACGACAATAAATAAGAGATTTTTTAAAATATAAATATTTTTGGAGAAGCTACATTCAGTAACTACTTAGAGAAATAACTTTTCGTTTTAATTAATTACAACAACTTATTATATCAAACAAAATAAGTAAAACAATAGATTTATATGATTTTATTTTTTTAATATATTTTTAGTTACTAAAAATTTACAGTTATTGAAATACTTTTTGTGAAGAAAGTGACTTATATTGAATAACCAGAATTCAGACAGATACAGAAAAATAAAAAGCCTTTTTCGATCATTTGCACTCGAACCAAACTCAGAGTCTATCACCTCCAAAAAAGCAATATGACTCGCAAATTCTCTGATGGGCTTACTTGGGCCAAAAACGGACACAGTAGACCTTTTATCTCTCAACCTAAACTTTAGAATGCTAGTGTAAATAAAGAAAACAATCAAAAAACATTTAGTGCAAAAAAAAAAAGAATAAGCACAAGATAATTAAAACAAATCCAAACTTGTAAGAACATATTCTAAACCCTCCTAACACAAAAATCTTCCACGGCGATGGTTCGGGAGGGGGACAAACTGACAATAGTGCATCTCTTCCTCTTCTTTCTCCTTATTCATAATATTTTCTGCTGCTAAACAATCGAAGTATAGAAGATGCCTCCATATAAACCAATTCTGTATTTATTAACAATGAACTCTGTTGGGTATATTACCCCGGCCCACTACTATTTGGGGGCCCAAAGCATCACCCCGATACGGAGCCCAATTGGTGAGGCCCAGTTAGGCCTGCTTCGGCCCATTAGAGCCTTCTCGGCCCGTTAGGCCCGTTGGCCCATCAGAAACCCTCCCCTAATTCCTATAAATAGGGAGGAGGGCTCTCATTTGTGGAGAATCAGGGCCGATCGAGAAAAGAAGAGACTACGAGTGTATAGATATCACGACACATGAAGAGAAGACCTACGGGCTGTACGATGCACGAACTTTCAGATCACGCTCCACGACTGGCAATCCGGCCCCCGTCGTTCGGTACTGAGAGCAAAGTACCATGGGCAGAGGGCGCCTGTAAGACCCTCACACATTCTTGATTATGGTTGGACTATTACTTTATTCCACATGAACGGCATGATTAACACCATTGGTAGAGGGCGCCTGTAAGACCCTTGGATTTCCAGGCTGGCCTCCCAGCGCTGACTGTCCTCTCACCACGACCGACCCTCCTAGCTCGGCGTGGTGATTATCTTGAAGACCGGCCTCATCCTCCTGTTGCACGGATGAAAGCCTTTGCATGGATATGCACGATCGACCTCTCAGCGCCATCGTGTCTAGTTCCTATTCAACAATGGCAGTGTAAGGACCATGGCAATGTAAGGACCATGTAATGGCAACGTAAGGACCATGGCAACGTAAGGCCACACCACGGAGATGACCACCTTTTGCAGCACGCACAGGCTCCACAACACCGAACGGTCTGGTATGACTATATTTTATGGACCGACCGCCGCAGTTGCTGCTGCAGTTTTCATATCATGATCAGCCTCTCGGCATGGCATATTTATCGCTTTGGAGGCATCTTCACGCTCCACAGAGGAAGATCTATTATCCAGATGATCTGGCCGCTTCCATAGCTCTACGATCGGCCACCCGGCACGACGTGATCATCATTGTGAGTCCCTGTATTTATATATAAAAAATACCGGACGATAATGGTATGGAAAACCCAGAGAGAAAACGAGAGAAAAGGAGATCAGGGCTCCTCGTTTATCGCCTCAACCATAGGTACGAATGAACCGTATCGGAAAAACCGAACGGGGCATTGAAACTGTGGTTTGGAGGCGAAGGACAGACCATTAGTATGGATGATCCGGATCGGAAAAACCGGACGGGTTGCATCGGAACTATTGGTCAAAAACCTCACTCGTTCATAGGTTCATCGGACTGTTCTAGTGGGAAGAACAAGCGAATAAAACTGTGAATTGATTGAGTCTCATTTCAGCCAGGGGAGAACGACCCGTTCGTCGAAGGCGAGCGAATGGGGGATACAAACTGGATTGGAAGTGATGTAAAGCAAAGGGTGGCCCGTAGTGGTCCTGGGCCGACGGGTCCGTGTCTGATAGAGTCCATGGAGCACCGCGTCCGAAGGATTGAGAGGTTCTACGACCGTGTTCACAAGTACGTGGCATATATGTTTGGGCTACCAAAATGTCGCAACGGCTCTTTGAGTGTGGTAGCCATCCCCGACCAATTAGTTAGAGTGATCCGTCCAAATCAGACCGGACAAGTGATCTCGGCTGGTTCCGTTTGAGCTGGGGAATTAAAACTAACATTTTTCTCTTGATCATGTTTTGCAACACGAATGGTTCTTCGGAGCCTTCGTTCCTACTCACGGTCGGGCTCGTCCATCCTTGACTGGGGATGGCGACCGCCGCTTTTATGCAGCACGCACGGGCTCCACAGCTCCGTCGTGCCTGGTTCTCGGCCGGGCTCGTCCATCCTTGATCTGGGATGGCGACCGCTGCTTTTATGCAGAACGCACGGGCTCCACAGCTCCGTCGTGCCTGGTTCTCGGTCGGGCTCATCCATCCTTGATTTGGGATGGCCACCGTCGCTTTTATGCAGCACGCACGGGCTCCACAGCTCCGTCGTGTCTGGTTCTCGGTCGGGCTCGTCTATCCTTGATCTAGGATGACAAACACCGCTTTATGCAGCACGAACGGGCTCCATAGCGCCGTCGTGCCTGGCTCTCGGTCGGGTTCGCCCATCCTTGATGTAGGATGGCGACCGGCGCTTTATGCAGCATGAGCGGCTGGCTCTTCGGCACCGTCGTGCCTAGCGTGGGGACTGCACCTCACCTATCACTTATGAATACCTTGAGTCCACGACTATTCGAAGACGCCGATTCCGGAAAGGTAGGGAAGGACGTGAGCAAGAGTATACTTTCTCGAGTAGATATGTAGGCTCACTCCTCAAGAAATTGGGGGACTTGTGTTGGGTAGATTACCCCAGCCCACTACTGTTCAGGGGCCCAAAGCGTCACCCCGATACGGAGCCCAATCGGCGAGGCCCAGTTAAGCCTGCTTTGGCCCATTAGAGCCTTCTCGGCCCGTTAGGCCCGTTGGCCCATCAGAAACCCTCCCCTATTTCCTATAAATAGGGAGGAGGGCTCCCATTTGTGGGGGATCGGATTTTTGGCGCTTCTCCTCCCTCCCTGCCTATTCTTCTTCATCTTGTTAGATTAGTTTATTCAAGCTCCATTAATGGAAACTCCGAGAAATATGTACTGTGTAATTGGTGAGGAGGGTATATCAATGAAAAAGAGCGGGCTTGGACGTTAGCTCAAACAATTTGTGGGACGTTACCATGTTGGGCAGTTAAGCCAGAAATTGTTTGGCCCCACAAATTAATCGGAACGGCCGCACAAACTTATACTCCGTAAAATATAACATGATTGTGTTGTCACAGTCCCACGCCGAAAAAGTTTGAATCAACAAAGTGTTATATTAAGACACATGCTACTTCTTCTATCAGGTTGACCTTTTAGGATGGAACCCCGGGTCTTAACATGATATCAGAACCAAATCGATACATGGTATGGGCCCCTTTATGAAAAATGATGACACAATTATAAAATGAATGACGGCATAATCCAGACGAAGTGTCTAGTTTTGAGGAGGGGTGTCAAGGTCTTACACCAGAAAAGTTTATCAAGACACATATTACCGCTCCTATCAAATTGATCTTTTAGGATGAACCTCAATCTTAAGAAAATATAAGTTTAAAATGTCTCAAATTATGAGATGGACTCCAAAGTTTCAAATTAAACTTGTCGTCTGTAATGATGACACACGGGTCCCTTAAGTGAAAACTTTTTGTAAAGATGATCCGTTTTACACGCAGTTCATGAAACCAACCATGGTTAAAATTAAATTACTCCGTGTAATTTTAGTTTTAATCCAGAACGGTTAAACCCCACTCCTCCACCAGTTTAAATATTAACGTTTCACAACCGATATGGAATCCAAACTCCAAATATGAGACAAAGATGATGATCGGAGAGAAATATCACGCTGATCGCCAAGCTCCGGCATATCCATTTCCAGATGTCCTGACGGTTGACGTCCATTCTTCCCTGAACCCTGCTGGTTCCGGCAACGGCCACGATGATTTCTCGTTCCCGCAAAACGACGCCGCTCTCCAGTCGCTGATTCGCTACCTGCCGTCGCAATCGAACGACGTTAGCGTGGGGTCGGAAACTGATAAGGACGTTGACCTTCCCGTGGGCGCGTACACATGCGATAACTTCCGCATGTACGATTTCAAGGTGAGGAGGTGCGCGCGTGGCGGCTCACACGACTGGACTGAGTGCCCTTACGCGCATCCGGGGGAGAAGGCGCGGCGGCGGGACCCGCGCAAGTACCACTACGCCGGCGTAGCTTGCCCTGAGTTCCGGAAAGGTAGCTGCCGGAAGGGAGACGCGTGTGAGTACGCGCACGGCGTGTTCGAGTGCTGGCTCCACCCGGCTCGCTATCGTACGCAGCCGTGTAAGGACGGGCTAAACTGCAACAGACGGGTGTGTTTCTTCGCCCACGCGCCTGTGCAGCTGCGCGTGCTTAGCCCGAGGGCGGTGGATTGGGGCTCATCGTCTTCCGATTCGCCTCCCACGTCGCCGGTGGTGACGGCGGCTTTCCGTCAGCTGCCCTCTTTTGGGTCACCGAAATCGGGCATCTGGAGCTTGCCTGCGACTCCGACCCGGACAATTGGGCGACCCGGAATGACCAGTTTTGATCTGTGGGAGGGGGAAGAGGATTTGGGCAAAGAGGATGCCCCAATGGAGAGGGTTGAGTCGGGTAGGGACATTAGGGCCAAGATGCTTGAGAAGATAGGGAAGGAGAATCCTCTGGACGGGCAGGACCCGAATTCCGACCCGTACCCGGCCCAGTTCGATGCTCCTAACCCTGATGTCGGGTGGGTCTCCGAGCTGGTTCAGTGAATTACTCTTTGTATGGGCAATTTTGTGAGAAACAAAAATTGTTGGAATTATCAATTAATTGTGAAAATAATTATTCAAAGCAGAGTAAAAAATGATTTGAAATCACTATTGAGGAATTGAAGATCAGAGCGCAAGAGACACTGGAAGGCCGGATCATGAACTAGGTTTGGTTATTCCTTAATTGTTTTTATTATTATATTGTATATCACAGTCGATGTTATTAGCATATATACATGTATTACAATGTAAATATATACTGCGCATATTTTTAATATTTTATTGTTGCTAGTCCTCATATTAATCTAAAGATACTTAGTTCATGTATGATCTGCTCCGTAATAAATATCACTTAGCATTAGTAATATACTCCAAAAATATCGCTTGCATATAAAGTCCAAATTTTATCATTTTAAAAGAAAAATATACTTACTTACTGAGTTCTCTTTAAAATAATTTATTACAGATGATTAAAGTTGTTTTGCTCGATCTCCTCTAAGTAAATTTAACTTGCATAAGTTTTATTTCATTTTGCTGTGCAGCGTTTCTATGGGGCTATGGTTTCACTATTCTTAATTAGCAATTATCTTCGGAAAAGGTTGTCTTTTAATTTAGAACATTCTACGTAATTTTATTCACTACGTAGTATTAGATTATCTACGTACCGTCACACTAATGACTTAAAAGATTCCAACACTTATTTTTTTATTTTTCAGAGTGGTGGTAATCGTTTTGAATGGTTACAATTAATAAACCTTAAGAGTATTTTGTGTATATATGTGTTTATTAGACGGGTAGTTAATAGTACACATGATAGTCGATCTTTTACTTTCTAGTCGGTGAAGAGTATGAAATTAAATGTTGGATCAAAGACCGTGTAATTCCAATCCAGACGAGTTTGATTATCGTGTGACACGAAATGCTTTTAATAGTCAGCGTTCGATCAATTACTTGGTTCCCAAGCAAATAGAGCTAAGACGTAACCTTAACAAATGTGCATTATATGCACCTAAAAATGGATAGCTAGTTAAAGAGTTTTTTTTCATAAAATATTTCTAAAGTAAAATTTATTTGCACCAATATAATTAATAATACTACGATATATTATAATGTCATGGTCACTTAAGTTTAAAAATTGATTACTCCGTATAAATTAACGATTAACTTATTATTACAATTATTGGTCACATTTATATATATATATATATATATATATATATATATATATATATAGAGAGGAATGTTCATGTCAGGCCGGCCTGACGGGCTGCCCCGTCCGGCCGAGCCCGTTTGGGCACCTTCCCGGTGGAATTTTTTGATGAATTTTTTTGAGCATGTTCCTCATCAAGTCTAGTTCGTCCATACCAAATTTCAGCTCAAAATTCGATCGGGAAGGTTGTCAAATGATTTTTGCAAGTTAACTGGTCCGGAATATGTATTTTCCGGACCAGTTAACTTGCAAAAATCATTTGACGACCTTCCCGATCGAATTTTGAGCTGAAATTTGGTATGAACAAACTAGACTTGATGAGGAACATGCTCAAAAAATTTCATCAAAAAATTCCACCGGGAAGGTGCCCAAACGGCCTCGGCCGGACGGGGCAGCCCGTCAGGCCGGCCTGACATGAAGAGCACTCTATATATATATATATATATATATATATATTGAATTTCTTCGGGGGTAATGACTTGGTGAAGAGATCGGTCGGATTTTCACTGGATCTGATTTGTTGAATGTTGGTCGTCCCTTCTTTCTCCAGATCATGAGTAGAGAAGAACTTTGGTGATATGTGTTTCGTTCTGTCTCCTTTGATGTAGCCTTCTTTAATTTGAGCTATGCACGCGGTGTTGTCTTCATAGATCACAGTCGGGTGACAAGTAATAGGCTTCATACCGCATTCATTTTGGATGTGTTGAATCATAGATCGCAGCCACACGCATTTCCTCCCGGTTTCATAAAGTGCAATTAACTCCGAATGATTTGATGATGTAGTTGTCAACGTCTGTTTCATAGATCTCCACGAGATTGCGGTATTACCATAAGTAAATACGTACCCGGTTTGTGATTTTGCCTTTTGAGGATCTGATAAATATCCAGCGTCTGCATATCCGATTAAAGAAGCTTTGGCATCTTCGTGGTAGAATAGGCCGGGATCAACTGTACCACGTAGATAACGGAACATGTGCTTGATCCCGTTCCAATGACGTCTTGTTGGGCATGAGCTGTACCTAGCTATTAAATTTACAGAAAATGCAATATCTGGTCTAGTATTATTAGCTAAATACATTAAAGCTCCAATAGCACTCAGATATGGTACTTCGGGACCGAGTATTTCTTCCTCATCTTCTCGGGGACGGAATGGATCATCGTGTATGTTGAGAGATCGAATGACCATTGGTGAAGTCAAAGGATGAGCTTTGTCCATATAGAATCTCTTCAACACTCTCTCGGTGTAATTGGATTGGTGGATGAAAATTCCATTCTTCAAATGCTCAATTTGAAGTCCGAGACAAAATTTGGTTCTCCCGAGATCTTTCATTTCAAATTCTTTCATAAGATATTTTGTAGTATTTTCAATTTCATCGGGAGTTCCAATAATGTTTAAGTCATCAACATATACTGCAATTATGGCAAATCCCGAATTTGATCGCCGAATGAAAACACATGGACTAATTGGATCATTCTTATATCCTTCTTTGAGAAGGTATTCACTGAGACGATTATACCACATTCGTCCAGATTGTTTTAGTCCATATAATGACTTTTGTAATTTAATGGAAAATATGTCTCGAGGTTTCGATCTATAAGCTTCAGGCATTTTAAATCCACCGAGAACTTTCATATAAATGTCTGTATCAAGTGAACCATATAGATAGGCGGTCACTACATCCATTAGGCGCATTCGCAACCTTTCAAAAACAGACATGCCAATGAGAAACCTTAATGTAGTTGCATCAACTACTGGAGAATAGGTTTCTTCATAATCGATTCCCGGCATTTGAGAAAAACCTTGGGCAACAAGTCGGGCTTTATATCTAACAATTTCATTTTTCTCATTGCGTTTACGCACAAATACCCATTTAAAACCCACAGGTTTTACGCCTTTTGGCGTAGGGACTATCGGTCCAAAAACATCACGTTTTTCAAGTGATTTTAATTCAGCCTGAATAGCTTCATTCCATTTTGGCCAATCGTGTCGTTTCCGACATTCTTCAATTGATGTTGGCTCATTGTCATTATTTTCATTCATTACATTTGTGGCAACGGCATAGACAAATATCTCATTAATATCAATATCTTTTCGATTCCATTGCATTCCAGTAGAAACGTAGTTTATTGAAATTTCATAATTATCAACGTTTCTATCAGTATCTGGAGTATCTTCCTCATTTGAGGAAGTTGGATCGTCATTTGAGATGTTTGTTTTGTCAATATCATTTTCTATGTCGGTATTTTCAAATTGTTTATTTTCTTGTTCAGAAGGATGAACATTTTTGGCATCACAGATCAATTCCTGCCTTTTAGTTTTTCTTGGATTTATATCTTTTGATCCAAGTGGCCTACCACGCTTTTTGCGTACAGGAGAATTATTTGCAAGAGATTTTTCAGAATTCTCTGCTGGGATTTCGATTCTGGCAGGGGCATTCATAGCAGGAATATGTGACTTTGTCACTTTCTTTGTGTGTGTGAATGCATCAGGCAACTGATTTGGAACATTTTGTAAATGGATTATCTTTTGCACCTCTTGCTCACATATATTTGATCTAGAATCAAGGTGTGATAATCCTGTTGCATTCCATGCTATTTCTTTCGTACTTGGGTCCGATTTATTAGTTTCTCCCCCTAAGGTTGGAAATACTGTCTCATTGAAATGACAGTCAGCGAACCGTGCGGTGAATAAGTCACCAGTCATTGGTTCAAGATATTTGATTATTGAGGGAGATTCAAATCCAACGTAAATTCCCAACCTTCTTTGAGGACCCATTTTTGTACGATGAGGTGGAGCAATCGGAACATAAACAGCACAACCAAATATTTTTATGTGTGCTAAGTTTGGCTCTTGTCCAGTAACTAATTGCATTGGGGAATATTCATGATATGCAGTTGGTCTAAGCCGAATTAAATTTGCTGCATGTAAAATAGCATGTCCCCAAGCTGATGAAGGTAAATTACACTTCATTAATAATGGTCTAGAGATTAATTGTAATCGTTTAATCAAAGATTCTGCAAGACCATTTTGTGTATGGACATGAGCAACAGGGTGCTCCACATCAATCTCAATCGACATACAGTAGTCGTTAAATGATTGGGATGTAAATTCTCCTGCATTATCAAGTCGGATTCTTTTTATAAAATGATCCGGAAAATGAGCTCGTAATCGTATGATTTGAGCAAAGAGTTTAGCAAATGCTAAATTTCTAGTCGATAAAAGACTAACATGTGACCAACGTGTTGAAGCATCAATCAACACCATAAAATATCGAAATGGTCCACATGGAGGGGCAATCGGCCCACAAATATCTCCTTGAATCCTTTTTAAAAATGCAGGTGATTCAGTTGCAATTTTGTTCGTAGAAGGTCTGATGATCATTTTGCCAAGAAACAGGCCTTACAAGGAAAATCAATTGATAATGGAACCCTGATATTCTTTAATGGGTGTCCAAGTGAAGTCTTAATGATGCATCATTACTTGGCCTGGGTGACCTAAACGGTCATGCCACAACATGGATGTTTTCTGATCATCTAACTTTGTGTTAGAAACCAAATTTATTTCAAATGGACTAATATATGTGAAATATAGTCCTGAGGAATAAGCTGGCATTTTTTCATAAATATTTTTAGTGCCAGATTTAGTTGTCGTAAGACAAAGATATTCCTTTTGGTTTTCATTCATGGTTTCAATGTGATAACCATTTTGACGCATATCTTTAAAACTCAATAGATTTCTCCGGGATTTGGTGGAGTATAGAGCATCATTTATAATTATTTTTGTCCTGTTAGGGAGCATCACATATGCTTTCCCAGAGCCTTCAATGAGCTTTGCAACACCTGATATTGTATTGACTTTAGCTTCAACTAAAGTCATTTGAGAAAAATAGATTTTATTCCTCAAAATGGTGTGCGTTGTGGCGCTGTCTATCAGACATAGTTCTTTATCACTTGAGTGATCCATATCTGCAGGAAGATGATTTATTGAAGATGCTTGAGCTAATTCGTGCTGATAACGTGTTGTGAATGAAGAAGATGAAGAATAGATTTAAGAGATAGATATATTATTGATAACCTCTAAATAACTTCTTCTTAATATAAAGATTTCTGAGTTTTATATATATATATATATATATATATATATATATATATATATATATATTCACCACCTATATATT